CTAGCATGTATATTTAATAACACATAACTTCGTATATATTATTACTATAGTCTATAGCCTATTCATTGGTATAGCTATTTTTTTTATGATTTTTTATGATAAGAGGTGTATGGCCAGCTTGCACACACCTCAATTATTCTCTTTGGACATTGAAACTATCCAGTCGGGTAAGAGTTTTATTGGCTACCCTATTAAAAGTTGAGATGAATCGAATTCAAGACCTCTTGAATTATACACTCAAAAGTCTTAGTTGACCACTTGGACACCTAATAATGATTTGGTATAGCCATCTTTTTAATTTGAAAAAAAATAAATATCGTAAATCGATTATATATATTAAAGGCAAACTCGATCAATTTAGTCAAAAGATTAGGAATGACAAGTTGACAACATGGATTTGTAGGGCATTAAGTATAATTGATTAAAGAATCTATAAATCTATGTTAAATTGCTATCAATCTATTAATTTATAATCTAGATGATTACACAATGTCTTTTAATATTATATTCTAATCGTGACGCTTCTTACAAAAATTATTGGGTTTATCATTGCAAATAGGGATGGTTTCTCCATTTTTAAATTGGACAAGATTCCCAATTGGGGATAGAATCTGTGTGTAGGAATGATAATGAAGCGGATCGAGAGTGGGGAGGTGCCCTCCACTCCCCATCCCATTTTGGATTTTGGTTTAAAGTCCCCACCGCGGTCCTCATATTATTTAAGCGAGGTGGGGATGGAAGATTTCCACATGGGGAGTGCATTCCCCAAATCCACTTCATTCCCTATATAAGTTATATAAATAATCACATTAAAAAAAAATAGTATTATGATAAAGTAAACTCTTACTATGTTGTATTAATGTTCTAAATAAAAATAACCATAACATATTATAGCAATATTAAAAATTAAAAAGTTTAAATATGACCAAAAAATTAAAGAAAAAAAAATACTAAATTGTAAAATAACTTCTAGTGAGCAATAACATTTATTTATTTCCCAAAATCTTCTTGATTTCTCTTCATCAAGAGTCATTAAAACTCCATTCCTTTAAAATGTTACATAAAAATATAAATAATAATTTGAATTTATTATAATAATTACATTTCTGTAATAAAAATATTTTAAAATTACTGTTGGTCATATAGGTGGTAATCTGAATACTACTATTTTCTTAAGTATTTTAAAATTACTTGGTAATGTTAATTTTGTTACAATTTTACTCTTAATTATTAAAAATTTTGGACAATAATACCCTTGTTTTGAAAACAATTTACAGAACATTCATGGGCTATTTTATTATTATATATAAAAATTTTAGGATGTAAGTACCCTTGAACTTAAAAACAATAACCCAAGACCGGTGGTCGAATCTTGCCACCAACGTCGGCGCCAACCGTAGACGCTGGAACGGTGCATGACTGACCAAATTAGTTTTGGGCATTTCTAGCCAGATTCATGGCGATCTGGTCGGAAACTGCCAAATCTATGGTCATTAACTGCCACATCTATGGCCATTAATAGTCAGATTTGGCTGGTCGTGCATCGTTCTAGCCACTACTGTCGATGGTCAGTGGTGGTGATCGGCGGCCGGCGATCGCTTGGATGCCTGGGGTGTTTTTGTTAATTTTTTAACTTTTATTATAGGAGTGTTTTAGCTAAATTCTCAAATATAGGGGGTTAAAAAATAATCCAAATAATGATATTTACAAAAAAAAAAAAAAACAAATTTAGTGATCTATATAACATACCCATAAATTGATTCCTCCTGATCAAACATGTTAATATAACATAATCACCAATTTATTTCAATCTAACCAAACACATTTATTATAACATTCTTTGTAATACAAAACTCACTGAACCAGACGCACCCTTAAAATTTAATTATTAATGAAATTTAAAGGTATTCTCCCTCCCTATCACGAAATCTATATAGGGATGGATAACCCATCATTGAAATGTTGGCCTATATGTCCTCCCTCAATAGGTTAAGGAGCCATCTTAACCCATTAGAAAAAATAGTCATTCCTATTTAAGACCGTTTTCAATAAATAATAATTAACCTATCCTCCATGAAACTTGTGTTCATAGTGTTAAGAATTATTATTGTAGAGGATAAGAACACAAATAGAGAGAATTAGGTGCGAAGAGTGACGCATGGTGCATTATTAATCAATTTTGATGCCTACTAAAAGGCCCTTTAGTTCAACCAGTTCAACAAAACAAATGTTGACAACTCCACGAAAAACTAACCAAATTTTGACATGTGCGCCAAGCATTTCCAATCTTAGTTCACCATTCAACTAACGAACTTTGACATAGCTGGACGAAGTTTCCAGGTCAATCAACAATCTCAAATTAATATAAACTAATTATTAAACCACCCCAAAAAGTCTGTTCAAAATCTTCTTTAAACCAAATAAACTTTGAACAATATGCTGCAGCTGACAAAAAACTGTAGACCATTCAATTAAACTATTCAAATTTCTAGAGGGAAAAAAAACCATATGCAGACCACTGACTTCACGTAGCCGGTTGTGGTCCACTACGTAGAGATACATTTAAGTCTATTAATATATAGGTAGCCTTAAACGTTAGGTTAAAGAAATAAGAAGCAGGAAATAGTGGTGTAGTTAATTATAAATTTATGAGACAATATTTGTCACGGGCGGCGCTGTAGATATATGAATATAGTGTGTGTTTTATTGTGGAACCCATGTTGATTTTATATTTGGTTTTGTATTTTTTTAGAGAGAAGAATTGAAAAATATTCACGAGGAGTCTGAAGTGGGTCTTTACCTTTCTTTTCAATGGTGAGGTAGGCTCACACGACAGGATGGTTCAAAGTTGGTAAAATTCGTGGAAGTCTCATATTGGTCATCTAGAAAAGTTCAAACCTGGAGTAATTTTTTGTTTATTTCGTAGGAGATATTATTCTCACCGAACTTTAAGATATTATACACGTTTTCTTTTTGTTTATTTTTCTTGACTTAAGTTGATGTTATTTGATAATGTAAATATGTTACCATTCAAAATGCCTTTTTTCTTTCTCTCAATTTAACATATTCTACTGTCCTTGTGGTTTGAAAAGTATGTGATTGTTTTTCGATCATCACCCGAAATGAAATAGGTTTATATGAGCAATTAGTGCAGGATTGTTAGCAGGGACTACACTAAATTACAAAGGGAGATCTACTTTTTCACGTTTTACTAAAGTCTTGGTCCACACTAAGTATGTATTAGACGTACAGCCGGTGCATCGTAGGAAAGTAATCAGGAGAAAATAATTATTCTAACGGTGAATCATCACTAAAAAGATGCATTTAAATAATTAATTTATTAAATATTTGATACAATACAAAAGTACTTTTAAACGTTAACCAAAAATAAAATTTTGTTTTCATTTAATATTTAAAAATTGAACTTTTATTATTAATTTAACAAATTATTAAATGACTTTACATTTAACAAAAATATAAAACATGAATAATATTTATACTAAAATATGCCACATAATAAACAAATCAACGCATGTGGGAGAGTCACATATGCTTCAATATGTTCACAAATTGAATTAAAGTTTTATTTGATAGCATGCTTATATTATTTTACATTCATCTAAGAAAGAAAAGAAAAATAATATAAAACAACTCTTCTATTCACAACTCGAAGATCATTACATTAATTTACTTTGATTGTTGATATAATCTTTAGTTAACATGTCCAATTGATTCGTGGCAAGGCTTAAGTCCTGAAGAAAAACGAGTTGCTATACCATGCACGGTTGGGGTTGACAATGCCGTGCCCAGGCTCAAGCCTATCCCAACCCTAAGCAAGAAAATTCCCAGCCCTGCTAGACTTAATCCAATCTGATACGTAATTAATTAAACCTAACGGGTTTAGGTGTCATCCCTTAGTTCAAGGAAAAAAAAAAAATTTAGGTTAATGAACTTACCGCATTATTTATATATTTGTCAAATAAAATCATGTTATGTATGCATTTATTTTATCTTTTATTTATCTAAATATCATTATGATTTTTTTTTCTTTTTGAAAATTAATACATATGTGGAATGATTTTATTGGGTGGATATAAGATAATGCAATATAAAGAGTAAAGTAAAAGTTATGTAACAATTTGTGTGTAAAAAGTTGCTCAATGATGAATAATTATAGGTTAGTGGGATAATATGTGGTTTATTATTCAACTACAAATTACATCTGTTTGTACAACAAATTCAGAAATAATTTTAAGTAATAAGTTACTAAACAGTTTCTTCAGATGGGATAATGATTTACATAAATCAATTACTGGTAAATTCACAAATGGTTTAAGTAATAAGTTACTAATCAGTTTCTTGAGAAAATTAATGTTCTTTGAATGTATTCCAAAAGGTTGGTGACCTTCATGTTTTTAATACTTATGTTTTTGTTTGGTTGATAACATTAGGCACCTATCAATTAAGACCAAAAATTTTGTGTAACAAAAACTATATCTTGTCGGCTGTCCACAACTTAGAATCGATTACTGCCTATTGTCAACTTCAATTCACAATAAATTACTGTTTATCGTCAATTATAGAGTAAAACAGAAAAATTAATCCTGGATTAACTACCTATGATATCGATTTATGGATTAGGACAGAAGGCAAAGCCCCCCAACATCACATGAAACATTTAACTCAGGAGAGTTTGGTGGTTACACACCAATGATTTATCATTCTAATTCTAACCATTCATCAAACTAAACATTTTTTATTTTTATTATTGTAAACAGTAAAATCTTTCACAGAATACTTTGAGGTTTCTTCATAGTCACGTGATACTTTTCCCTTGACAAATTTACCCAATAACTTGAACCAAAAGACGTCTCAGAAATCTCTCCACGAAAAGCACTACCTTTGACATTCGGCAATGGTGACAACAACGTTGTAAGAAATAGTCAAAACAACTATTAGATTTCTAAGAATTCTTATTTAAAGGCCTTTCGCCATTGCATGGTCTCTTTACGTTTTTGATCAAGCCATTCAAGGGCCCAAGCTGAATTAATTTAGTGAAGATTAGAGAGAGAAAGACAACAACTTCACCCGCTAACAAGCTCCTTTCCTTTCTTTCACTTTCTTTGAAAAGGCAACAAGATCTAACAAGGTAGTTGTTGCTATTATCGTAGAATGTTTACCAGATTTTCTTTTACGAGTTCTATCTGAGTTGCCATCTTTAATTTTTTTACTTTCCTTTTCTCGGCTTGTTTGATTTGTTTCTACTTCGGTCCTGCCATTCTTATTATAAGTTGAGTTCATCTTGCTGAAACAGACTTTCTATTTGGTATATGTTTCTGAGTGCAGGTTTTGCCCATCAAGAGAACGAAGATGGTAAGGCGGAAGTTTAAATGGAGTTGGGTTTTTGCGTTGTTAGCAATGCTTATTCAGTTGCATTTCTTCACCGGAGTTTTCTCTGAGAATAACGAGAACACCCCATTTAGGTTCTTCCTCATTTCCCTCTTGCTCTTTCCCTTTCATGTTTTCTTCTGCTTTTGTGTTTGAAAGAGAAAAAAAGAAAATATGCCGTAAAAATTTGGCAGCCTTTGAAAAGAATAATAGAAGTCAAGTTTTTATTTTAATAGACTCGTATACTAATTGGGTTGAATAGGTTGGAAGTTTTTTTGCGTAGAATTCTACCCTTTATTCGTATATTGTTTTGCCTTTTATTTTGTTTGTGTTCCCACGTAAAGACGAATTTTCTTGTCCCATTCTTCTGTCCACCGAAAAAGTTTTACAGGCGTGAACCAAAAAGCTTGATAATTGATCCAACAACCAGAACCCACGGGGCATAACTGAGTTTCACCTTAGACGAAGAGTACAATGGTGTGAAAACATTGAATTCCAATTTGATGGTTCATTTTCTTGTAGCTGATAAAGTCCAAGCGTTCATTAAGTTCTAATATGGAAAACATGCACTTCGCCTTGAAAAATTCACCAATCAATTTGTTTTTCTAAAATACCATTTTGACTACAGTGCTCATTAATTCTTCATTTGTTTTTGCTTTCTAATTAACGTTGCCAAAACAAATATTATTATTATTTCCATTTTCTTTGGTTTGGTTGTTGGCTGACGTTTTTTGCCAAACACTCTTTGTTTGTTTGCAGAAAACTACTGAGGAGTATCAATGACAGAGAATTAGTCGCGTCCCGTGCTGTCAAATTGAATACACAAAATCGTAGAGAGGTAAAGCCACGTTTCACCAATCTTCAATTATATTTCTATATAACTCTTTGACAGCTTCAAATACTTTAAAATAATTACGCGTTTTTACTATTCAGGAAAGCCTCTTTGCTAATTAAATCTATTGTTTCAGGTGATAATGAGTAATGGGCTAGTTCAAGTCACTCTGTCGAGCCCAGATGGTGAAGTCATAGCAATAAAGTATAATGGAATTGATAATGTATTGGAAACAGAAAACAAACAAGATAATCGAGGGTACGAACACACTTGGTTAATTAATTAGCTTACCTTCTCCGACTCTTATACTAAATTCTCTGTGATTGACAAAATTATAAATTTTAGGTACTGGGACGTGGTTTGGTATAAGCCAGGAGATGAAGGAACCTATGACAAGTAAATAAATTCTCTCTCTTGAATCTATGTTTACTAAAATTATTTAAAGAGTTCACGATTATATTGAAATTGTCTATATTAAATGCAGATTAGAAGCAACAAACTTCAGGGTGATTGTGGCAGATGAAAATCAAGTAGAGGTTTCATTCTCAAAAAAATGGAATAGTTCTCGACATAGATCAAACGTTCCCTTAAATGTAGACAAAAGGTGAAGTGTAGGACCTAACATTCTTAAAAATGAAGACAAAACAAACCAGGAATTCTAGTTTATTTATATCGGTTTAATTTACCTCCACAGGTACATAATGCGGCGCGGTGTCTCAGGATTATATGCGTATGCCATTCTGGAACGCGAACCAGGCTGGCCCGATGTCGACATGGATCAAATTAGAGCCGTTTTCAAGCTCCAAAAAGACAAGTAATAAACGAGTTTCATTAATTTTAAGAAATTCAATTATCAAAGAGACTGATCTTTTTCAACAAAAAATAAATATCCATCAGGTTTCGTTATATGGCAATATCAGACGAGAGGCAAAGAATAATGCCAATGCCCGAAGACCGTGTAACGGGTCAGCCTCTTGCCTACCCTGAAGCTGTTCTCTTGACCAATCCAACTAATCCAGAACTAAGAGGAGAGGTATACTTTCTTGAAGCTTCAATTAATAGCTATTATTAAATTAGGCAAAATGGTTAGTGGTGGATAAGCTTTTTGTTCAAGTTATGGGCAACTTTTGGAAACCATATGACGAAAAATTCCGCACAGAAAGCTTTGATAAGATTCCTTCAAGACTTCTGTGATAATTTAATTAGAAACCGCTGCTTTAGTGCTTTAAAGGAGTCGGAAGATGGATGCTTTTTTGTCTGTATGTCTGTTTTGGATTTCAATATTCTAAGTCCCGTGAATGCTTTTTTTGATTGTGGGTCAGGTGGATGACAAGTACCAGTACTCGTTGGAAAGCAAAGATAATAAAGTACACGGGTGGATATCATCTGATCCACCAGTGGGTTTCTGGATGATCACACCCAGTGCCGAATTCCGAACATCTGGCCCGATCAAGCAAGATCTCACCTCCCATGTAGGCCCCACCGTTCTATCTGTAAGTCTCACCACATCTAACCCTGTATTTTAGTCTCGCTACAATATATTATGTTTCTGAAATTTGGGAATGTTGATTGGCAGATGTTTACCAGTACACATTATGGTGGGAAGGATATAGATACAAAATATCGGAATGGAGAGCCCTGGAAAAAAGTAATGGGTCCTGTGTTTGTCTATCTAAACAAAGTTTCATCTAAGGGAGATATCTATGGAGATCTTTGGAAAGATGCCAAAAAACAGGTATATATTAAAACAATCATTCTTATTATAGTTTGACTAATAACATTTATCAACACACTCTTTGGTTCTTCTTACTAGGCGTGGAAAGAAGTTGAAAGCTGGCCATATCATTTCCCTCGGTCAAAAGATTTTCCTAAATCATATCAAAGAGGAAACGTTTCTGGTCAATTACAAGTCTTTGACCGGTAATAATTTTATTAAAAAATATAGCAATATGGGTTTTTTTTTTTCCTTTAAATTATGCATAGATATTTACTTATTTTTTTTTGTTTTGTTTTTATTTTAGATATATCAATTCGAGTATAATAGGGGCAAAATATGCTTATGTGGGATTGGCAGCACCTGGAGACGTGAGATCATGGCAAACAGAAACGAAGGTTAATTTGATGCTTTTTTTTTTTTTTTTTTTTAATTTTATATATTTTGTGCTTAAAAGTGGAATGAGGAACTAATAATTTTGTATAATATTATTTGATCAGGGTTATCAGTTCTGGACACAATCTGACGAGAAAGGGAATTTCTTCATTAAAAATGTTCGAGAAGGGGACTATAATTTGTATGCATGGGTCCCTGGAGTTGTTGGAGATTATAAGCATGACATTAATATTACCGTCAAAGCAGGTAAAAATATAATTTTCGATGGGCCTAACTTTATAATGAAATTTTATGGGCCAATCTGAAATATTAGCAAATAAAATCTAAACAGGCCCATGTTGTCAGAATAATATTGAGAAGCTTGCCAATCACTGTAGCAACAGTTCTATTTCTACTTTCACGTGACTAATTGCTTCTTTGACATGTTTAACACAGGATCTAAGTTCAAGTTGGGAGCCATTGTGTATAGGCCTCCCAGATATGGTCCTACATTGTGGGAAATTGGCGTTCCCGATCGCTCTGCTGTTGAGTATTTCGTGCCGGACCCCTATCCAACACTCATGAACCGACTGTACACTAAGGACACCATGGACAAGTAGTTTGCTAATACCATACTAAAACTTAGGTGTTACATATTATTTCTTGCACTACATTGGCTTGATTCCATAAAAAATTATATGATCTGCAGGTTTAGGCAATACGGACTATGGGAACAATATGCAGATATCTATCGTAACGATGACCTCAAGTACACCGTCGGCGTTAGTGATTATACTCGAGAGTGGTTCTTTGCTCATGTTACCAGGTTTTTATTTCATCTTTTACCTTTTAATTTTATGGGGTCTGGAAACCTTATTAATTTTCCAGGGCCTGTTTCTAAATTTCTAGTAATGCATTGCAGGGAAATAGGAAATAGGACATATCAAGCAACCACATGGCAGATTATGTTTGAGCTTCCATATGTTGATAATCCAGGACCTTACACACTTCAAGTGGCCTTGGCATCAGCAACTGACTCTGAATTACAGGTATAATACATATCTTTCTGCCACCTGCAAAACCAATTCATCTCAATATTAATTTTCTGCTAATGAACTTTTAAAATGGTTTTACAGGTTCGACTCAATGATGCAAATGTCGAAAAACCTCATTTCACCACAGGGCTAATCGGCAAGGACAACGCCATTGCCAGACATGGAATTCATGGGTTGTACAGGTTTTATAGTATCAATGTTCCAAGCAATAAACTTTACAGAGGAAACAACACAATCTATCTAACTCAGTCAAGAAGCAGAAGCCCCTTCCAAGGAATTTTGTATGATTACATTCGCTTAGAAGGTCCCCCTGCCCGTGAAACTTGATAACGCCAAAATGCTGTAGCATAAGGTTTATATTGATTAATTTATTGTAAATTTTTTAGGCATTATTTAGTTAATCTCTTCTTGTGATTAGCCTTAAAAGTAGATAAAATGCGCAATTGATTTAATCAAACTCATTCCTTGTATCTCCCATTGTATACATTGTTATTCAATCTTGCTCATTCTTTGGTTTGCAAATGCTTATATGAATTTAAAAGATGTATGCATAATCTTTGTGGCAAACAATGGAAGATTGGTAGGATCAAGGGGACTACAGTCCTATCTCCCCCATTGAAAGCAACTCAGTGGAGTTTCACAAATTAGGAAATAGATCATACCCTACAATAAACAAGAAGATGACAATGCACAAAGATGGATGATAATAATTTACGTATTGGTATCTTATAACTAGAACAATAAAGATTTGATTGTTCTTTGGCAGCTCCTTGACCACTTATACCCTCGCTATCCATTCACTGTTGCTCCCATTTGGCATTTTGTACTGAAATTAAAGAAATTCAAAGAACTGATATTAATGGAGCAAATAACAGAGGAAGTGCAGTAAAAGATGGCCTTTGGATGGGCAGCCAGAGACACTTCTGGTCTTCTATCTCCCTTCAGTTTTTCCAGGAGGTTAATTTTATCTCTACTCTCCGTCATGTTTCTCTCTTACGTGATTATGATACCTTTCTCTAAAAATATTAGATCCGTAAGTATGGAGATTCATGGAAGATGTTTTGTGTTAAAAATTATTTAGACCGATTTGCAGGGTAACTGGAGAAAAAGACGTGACTTTCAAGGTGCTGTATTGTGGGATATGCCATTGTGATCTTCACATGATAAAAAACGATTGGGGCTGTAGGTGTATTGGCTGGAGAATTCTAAGGAAAAGATGGAGAAACATGTGTTTGAGAGAAAGCTCTGCATTTTCATTATATTAACATTGCAAATTTATACAACAAAAACATCCCCTGTTACACTAACTTCGTAGAGATATTTACAAATTTGAAATTTAAACCAAAGTTTACAACTAACACAAGCCTTAATCACAGCTGAATACACCTAAACACATCAACTTAAGTTGCTCACACACGTTAGAATACAAGGCAAAACAGAGAGTTCTTTGGCGTCAAAAGGTTCTCAAAACCAAACTGAATTTCAGTTACATTTCCAGCAAAATACCACTGTTTCAACACTCGTTGATTTTATTGCTGGAAACACCAATTCTGAGCCTAAAGTCTTCAAACTTGGTTTTGGACAAACCTTTGGTCATGATATCAGCCACTTGATCTTCACCCCTGCAATGAACTAGCTTAACTTCCCTATCTTGTTTAGCTTCTCTCACCGCATGAAACTTGATTTTTATGTGCTTAGTTCATCCATGATGAACTGGATTTTTAGCCATAGCCATAGCCGATTGATTGTCACACATAATTGTAGTAGGATTTCTTTGTTTCAGCTTTAAATCTTCCAAGATTTTTCTTAAGCAAATGCATAACCTGAAGTGCTTCTCATGTCCTCTATTGAACCACTCCAATCACTGTTAGAAAATCCCACCAATTCAAAGATTTCTGACCTTCTAAACCGTACTCCAAAGTTAGTGTTACCCTTTACATATCTTAGCACCCTTTTTGCAGCTTTGAAGCGTGTTTCCTTAGGCTGACTCATAAAGCTGGACAGCAAGCTTGTAGCATACATTATATTTGGTTTGGTTGCTGTTAAATACAGCAAACAACCAATCAAACTCCTATACAACCCTTCATCAATATTCTATGCATCATCATCTTTTGAAAGCCTTTGATTAGGAACCAATGGAATGTCCACTGGTTTGCAATTCTCCATGTTGAATTTCCTTAAAACTTCACTTGCATACTTCTCTTGGTTGACAAAAATCCCATTTGAACTTTGATGAACTTGAATCCCGAGGAAATAAGACATTTCTCCTAAATTAGTCATCTCAAATTCATTGAGCATGGACTTCTTGAACTCCTCCAATTGAGCAAGTTTCTCCCTGTCACAAGAAGATCATCAACATACAAGGAAATAATCATCACATCCGCATCAACTTCTCTAACATACAAAGTATGCTCATTTGGACTCCTCACAAAATCCAAGCTTATTAAGTGACCATTAATCCTACTATACCAGGCCCTTAGAGCCTGTTTCAGGCCATATAAGGCCTTCTTCAGGAGGTAAACTTTATCTTCACTTCCTCTGATCTAGTACCCTTCTGGCTGTTCAACATATATTTCCTCATTCAGACATCTACTGAGGAAGGCTGATTTAACATCCAATTGAAAAATTTTCCAGCCAAATTGAGCTGCCACAGTAAGCAATAATCTGATTGTATCATGCCTAGCTACTGGTGCAAAGGTGTCCAAGAAATCAACTCCATATTGTTGAGCAAAACTTTGACAACCAGCCTAGCTTTGTGCTTAAGAACTGAGCCATCCGGATTGAGTTTCCTCTTGAAAATCCATTTAACTTGGATTACTTTTCTATTATAAGGTTTGTCCATAAGTTTCTAGGTTTGGTTCTTCTCAATCATTGCTAACTCCTTCTTCATGGCAACTCTCCAAGCCTCTGATTTTTCTACTTCATAGTAGTTTGTTGGTTCAAGTGAAGTCATGTTGCACCTCTCATAAACCTCAACTAAAGGTCTAATGCCTCTTCTGCATCATTCTGATCTGCTTCAAAAATCTAATCACCAGCAGCTTCTGTCCATTAAGGTCTTGTCTCTACATCAACTTTGCTTTCTTCACAATTCCAAACTCCATCCTCATCTACCTTGACATCCTTAGAGATCAGAATCTTCTTGGATTATGGAACATACACCCGATAAGCTTTGGATTGGCTGCTATAGCCAATGAAAATTCCAATCAAGGCCTTATCATCCAACTTGGATCTTTTTGCTGTTGGAACTAAGATATAGTACATACTCCCAAAATTTTTGAGATTGTCTACTGCTAGTTTGACTCCATACTAGGCTTTATAAGGAGTCTGGTTGATCAAGGCTTTTGTGGGAAGCCTATTGAGTAAGTAGATTGCAGTGTTGACAACTTCTGCCAAAAAATCTTCGGCAACTTCTTCTCAGCAACCATACACCTTGCCATCTCCATAACATGTTCTTCCTCTCACTAACTCCATTTTGCTGTGGAGTGTAGGGGCTACTATACTGATGTCTAATTTTAGCCTCCTTGCAAATTTGCTCAAACTCTTAAGAAGTGTATTTAGTGTCATTGTCAGTTTTCAAGGTTTTAATGGTTTAACCTGTTTGGTTTTCCACCAGTTGCTTAAACTTCTTAAACACACTAGCCACCTCACTTTTTTGCTTCAAAAGATATACCCAACACATCTTGGACCAGTCATCTATAAACAACACAAAGTACCTACTTCCACTTAATGATAAAGTTTCCATAGGTCCACACACATCTGAGTGAATGAGCTGAAGTTTTCTAGCAGCTTTCTAGGCTTGGTTTATGGGAAAGGGTTGCCTACTTAACTTGCCAAGTTGACAAGCTGGGCATACAACCTCAGTTTCTTAGATTCTGAACCAATTTTTTGGTATGAATTTCTTTAAGGTCATGGTAATGGAAATGGCCAAATCTCTTATGCCATTTTTCAAACTCATCTACCCTAGCATTATAAGCTCTAACTTCAAAATTTTCTCACTTAATAGGGAAGCGTTTTCCCACAATTTTTACCCTTATGAGTTCACACCCTTCACTATCCAAGATTTGGTAGGTTTGGTTTTGAAAATGCAGAACATAATTCTTCTCCAACATTTGTCCTACACTAAGGAGGCTTTGACTAATTTCTGGTGCATAAAGTACATTGGAAATGAGTTTTGTACCTATTGGTGTCTGGATAACAACATCTCCCTTTCCTTTTGCTTCCACAAACTCACCATTTCCCACTTTGATTCTAGACTGATATCAATTTGACAAAGTTCTGTAGGTTTGGTGTCATGTGGTTTGTACATCCACTGTCAATTAGCTAGCCTTCATTTTTTGTTTGTGTTGCACTGCAGGAAGCTACAAACAGTTGCTCTGTCCTGTGCTCTGGTTGTTGATCATCAATCACTTGAGCTTATTGTTGGGATTGCTCTCCTTTGTTCTTGTAGAGCCTCTCTATGTGGCCAAACTGCTTGCAGGCCCTACATTGTATCCCTGACCTAAACAAACACCTTTTCTCCGAATGGCCTTTCTTTTTGCGGTGAGAGCAAGATGGATAATCATTCATCCCACTTGGTTTTCCCCACTGACCATTACCCCTTTTTGTCACCAGCATATCTCTTATTGTTCCCTTGTGTAGACTTGCCTTTGTGAGTTGCCATCATTGCACCCTAACTTGGATCTTCTTGCCTCAAGAGCCTTATTAGCTCTTGTGCTTACAATGCATGGACCAACTTGGTAAAAGTGATCCGTGACATATCCTTTGAGTCCTTAAGAGATGAAATTTTGGACTCAAACCTTTCGGGCAAACTTACCAAAACCTTTTCCACAACTCTCATATCTGTTAACTCTACTCCAAGCAACCTAATTTTGTTGACTACACTCATCAGCCTATCAACATACTCTTTCACCTTCTTAGATTCTTGTATCCTCAACATCTCAAACTCCCTTCTTAGATTCAGCACTTGCATATTCCTTGTAGTGTCACTTCCCACGAATTCCTCTCTCAACTTGTCCCAAGCCTTTTTTACAATTTCACATGCCATTATCCTTGTGAATACAAGGTCTGTTACAACAGGATAAATATGGGACAAGGCTTTCAGAGCTTTAGCAACTTCTTCTTCAAAGATTCTGATCTGATTTAGAGTTGGATTTGGTCCCAACTATGTTGGCTATCTATTCTCTTCTACATATTGCCATAAGCCTTGGCCCTGGAGGAAAGCTTTCATTTTTACAGCCCACATGTGATAGTTTTCACCATTGAAATCTGGAGGTGACATCAAGTCTGATTGAGCAACCATCGGTCAGGTTAGAGGTCTGAAGCAGAAAATATAAAGTCTGAAACAAAGAAGTTCTTGAGATAGGATGAAGGATTGAACATGGGAGGGAGAGATTTCAGGTTTTCTTGTATGGCTTTGATACCATTTGTAGGTGTATTGGCTGGAGAATTCTAACGAAAAGATAGAGAAACATGTTTTGAGAGAAAGCTCTGCATTTTCATTATATTAACATTGCAAATTTATACAACAAAAACAGTCCACTGTTACACCAACTTTGCAGAAATATTTACAAATTTGAAATTTAAACCAAAGTTTACAACTAACACAAGCCTTAATCACAACTGAGTACACCTAAACACATCACTAAAAACACATCAACTTTAGCTACTCACACATGTCAAAATACAAGGCAAAACAGAGTGTTCTTTGGCACCAAAAGGTTTTCAAAACTAAACTGAATTTTAGTTACATTTATAGCAAAATATCATCATTTCAACAACGGCAATTCCATATACACTATTGTCCCAGGGTAATGTTCTTCATAAATCAATCTAAATGGTATATATATCCAAACTAAGACACCTATGATTCTTAAAGAAATATAATTTAACAAAAATGATGAACCATGCTATCAAATATTCAACAATTCTTTAATTGTATGTAAAATTTATGTGACACAACCAAATTGCATAATCCAGGCATGAGATTGTTAGAGCAGTGATAGAGGTTGGAAGCAAGGTAGAAAAGTTCAAAGTTAGAGTTAGAGTGCACGTGGGAAGCATAGTCGAATCTTGCCACTCTTGTGACAATTGTGCCAGCGAAATCCATATTTACTGTCCAAAATTTATACCTACTCAAGGCACCCAAGACTATGATGGAGCCACCACACATGGAAGCTACTCTGCCATTATGGTTGCAAATGAGCATTTTGTAATCCCTATTCCAGATGATTTACTTGTGGATGCCAGTGCCCCTCTCCTCTATGCTGGAATTATTGTTTATAGTCCTTTGAGATACTATGGACTGGACAAACTTGGCATGCATGTGGGTGTTGTTGGCCCTAGTGGGCTTGGCCATGTGGCTGTCAAGTTTGCAAATGCTATGGGGGTTAAGGTGACTGTGATTAGTAATTCTCTTAACAAGAAGAAGGAAGCTATTGATCATCTTGGTGTTGACTCATTTTTCGTTAGTAGTAACCAAGATGAGATAAAGGTATTTTACTATAAGCATATTTGTTTGCTATAGTCATAATTATTTATTTGTTTCAAATGTTGATGTTTTTATGTTGACAATAGGCTGCCATGAGCAAGATGGATGGTATAATCGATATAGTATCAATACCTTATCCTATCCTGCCATTGATTGGACTATCAAGAACTAATGAAAAACTTCTTCTTGTTGGTTGTCTAGAGAAACCATTGGAGCTGCCAGTTTTTACTTTGCTATTAGGTAGGGATATAATTGTAGTAAATTGCATATATATAAGTAATTAATGAAGAACAAATTAAATAATTTTTTGGCATTGCATTGATTTAAGTCTAACAATTGTTGAGGAATGATAGGAGAAAGATAGTGGGTGGGGGGACGAATAGGACTCAAGACATGTTTCATATTAAAGGACAACACAACAGCAACACACTCATGAACCTCCTTTCTAAAGCCCATGTTAGATATTGCTTTGTTATTGATATTGGAAACCACATTAATTTGCACCACTTAATTAATTTGCTTTTAATAATCCGAATTTAGATCTCTCTCTATCTCAACTACAATAAACTTTTCAAGGTGTAGATGCTAAAATCTACGGTTGCGAAAATATGGTCTAATCCCATAAGATTCAGGCTACTAACAATCTACTGTACCTACACACAAAGCAAATAAGCGTGGAGGTTACTTGGACACTAGTATGGTGTCTACTGTAGGCACTCTGATGCTCAAGTCAGTAAAGTTGAATGAAGCAATTTAGTGAGGGTAAAGGAAGGACATGTTATCAGAGGTCAAGTCGGAGACTAGAACCACAACATAGTAGGATAGCTCTTAGGAGTAAGAGTTGGGTGTTGGTAGGTGATATTGAGGCTGAATGCCTAAACAAGGGAGTGACCTCTGTTTATATAGTAGTTGTTCGGTCTTTGTATCCTGACAAGACTCTGAATCCTTAAGGGTAAAGGTCTCGTGAATAGGAAAGATCCTGATTCACTTGACTTAATAGTAACATGAGTCTTAATTTGCCTAAGATACAGAATCTTGGGCGAATTAGGATAAAGTAAAACAGGAAGAATGGTACTTACCTTGGTCTGGAGGGTTTGGCCTTAGGTGGGCCATTGGAGTCGCCCATTTTGGAAGAAAGTTGGATCTGGAGGTTGCGGTTTGGCCCAAGTCACGAGCTCTGGTGCTGATCCAACTGAAATTGGATCACAACCTTAGGCCGATGTAGTGGAACATTTATGTTTGGGCTTGATAAGGCCCCGTATGATTTTAGACCCACATAGTCAGCCCCCCACTCTCTAAGCTAAAGAGTCTTTAGCTTGGAGAGTAGATGGTCTGATGAAAGCTAACCAGACAGAGAGGCGGTTTGCCTGGTCGGTCAAGTATCCTCATTGGCTGAATGAGATGTCTTTTCATGGTGAAAGCTGTAAGGAGACTGTTGACTATATTTTCGCAAACTTATGTAGCTGAGTCTACTCAGTTGGACTAGCCGAATGTTAAACCGTGAGGTGTAGTAATAGTAGCTATGTCCACTTGGTCGATTGAGCCAAGCGATTGGGTGCAAGAAACATACCTTAAAGCTAAGTTCATTCGGTCGGTTGAACCGAACCGAATGATAGGGAATAAGCTTATTCAAGCTGTCAGGCCGAGTGTCTATGCGTTCTTTGCTCTAAAAAAGTCTTATCCATTTCTTGGATTGGGAGACGAGTCAATTTGCTTGGTTGAGTCGAGCTTTGTCTAAGTGTAATGGGGTGGCATTAGGAGAGTGGGACACGTGTACTATAGGGTTACCTGTGTTTTGAGTAGGAGATGAGACATTAGGATTCCCAAGGCAGTCCTATCGTATTACACGTGTACAATCATGATTTCTTCTTTCTTTTAAGCGGGAAATTGAAGAGTCATAGCCAGTTGGTTGCTGTCGCGTGTTGTCTTGGCAGGTTGGGTAATTAAAAGGAGAAGAAACCCACTAGCGACTATTCATCTTTGTCTTCACCTCATTCTTTATTTTTTTCAAAAATTTCCTTCGGTCACCATCGAAGCTTTTTCAGAAGTTTCCAGCGATTTCTTCACGATAAATTTCTTTTCCTGTATAGAAATTGGTTTCTTTTCACTGTTTCTAATTTCCTTTAGTTAGACGTGTTTTATAATCATTTTTCTTCGGGCGGTTTGAAGTATCGATTTTTCCTTTTTGATTTCTTTTGAATTTTGTGGAATTCTCAGAGGTTTGAGGCAATATCTTTAGATTTGGCTAGATTCTGAGGATAGGCTCAATTTTTTGGGACGATTTTGGTAAGTTTTTCAAAATTTTGGGAGAAAAATCTTTGAAGGATTTGGGTTTAAGAGTGTAGGCTTTATTGGGGAAATTTCCTGGAATTTTGAGTTTGGTTTGTAGGAGAAAGAGGAGTTGATTTATTCACTGTTGCAATTTGGCATGCCTGGGGTGCTTGTCCGAGTCGAGTGATAACCTCTAAGGTTGCTCGTAGATTCAGTCAACCACTAGTCGGTCTTCTAGACCGAGTTGCTTGTAGTGTTAAAAGGTTTAAAACTTGGACACGCAATGTTGGATACCGAGTTGAGTGGGAATAGTCAGGGTGAGATGGAGGGTGGAGGAGAGTATGAGAACGCCCCCACTATGGTACTACTGCCAGAGGAAGGTAATGTGGCTGTGGGAATCCCTAAAGGGTTGAGTGTAGCTAGGACTGACCCGGTTGCTGTCGAGTTAAGTGGCGAGCACTCTGACGGGCAAGGGGAGAGTGGGGAAGATAGCGATGAAGAGCCAAGCAGTAGTCCCGAGGGTGAGCCTTTTACAAGCGGGACTGCAAGGATACAACCAGCTGATTGGGTGGAGGGATCTTGCCATTGGACTATCCCCCAAAGCTTACTTAGGATGATGAATGGAGGATAAGGACCATGTACCATATCTCTGACTCGATTGAGATACATCTGCCAAGAGATCATGAGCAGGCCAACTAGGATGTTCTAGGTTGGATCACTATGTACAACATCTACTTCTATGACAAGCTAAGGTTGTTGATTCCTAGCCTGGTTTGGGAAGTGCTGAACCATTTAATGATAGCGCCGACTCATATTATGCCGAATGGCTAGAGGCTGCTGATAGCATGGGAACTTCTTTGCATTATGCATTGAGTGGGATTCGACCTATATGAGTTCCTTTACTCTTACTATTTGAAGGAGCATGACACCGATAAGGGTAGATACTTAGTCACACTAATGCATGACCGAGTCCACCTAGTGACGTTCCTACGATCAAGTGATAAGAACTGGAAGGAAAAGTTCTTCTTCGTGAGGGGTGATGCGGTCTTTGGATAGAGAGGGTAGAGCGACATACCCTTTACATGGAGGGCGACTGGTTAGTAACTTTTATTTTTCTTTTGCCTTGAGTACTGAGCCTTATCTTTTGTTATTTTGTAGATCCGAGATTCAACAAGGCTAGGCAGAGTGGAGACGGTTTGGAAGTGTCAATCTAGGAATTGCTTGTTATACTGCTAAAACAGAGAGATTGGAGAGTGCTCTTACAAGAGGTGAACCTTAGGGTGAGTCATCTTTGGAGCGGGGTCGCTACAATACAGAGAGGTACACCTTTACCTTTTTTGAAATAGACGTGGAGTGTTTTGTTGACACGCTACTACAATCACATTTGCTTCAAACATTCGTTTTTTCATCCTCTAACTTTTGAAGAGTTTGCTCTTGTAGAGAGATTGATGAAGAGTATTAACGTCAACATCCTGAATGCAAGCGAGACGATCAAAGAGAGTTGGCATCCAAGCTGAGTGAAAATATCCAGATGGAACGAACCAAGTCAGTCCCACTGGCTGCATCGCCTACTGTCTGATGCAGCCATGATAGGGAAGCTAGCCGACTTTTTCTTGCTACCCATCGATGAGAGTCGGTTGGATCAGATGGGGATGAGTGCGATTGCTGAATGGGTTGTGGCTCGGTAATTTCATGTAATTTTTATCTTTGAACACTTTGTTCCCTAAGAGAAACGTTTTCTGAGTGTCAGATTTTTTTGCAGGCTCTGAGCCTCTGACTAGGAGTTTGTATCTGAAGAAGGTCGTAGTCACCCAGGACACGAAAATTCAGGACTTACCCAAGTCCAACACTAGCCTCCGCACTCGAGAGGCTTTGACCTTGAAATCTTTGAAGGAGAGTGTTGCCAAGCTACGATAGGCCGAGCTGGAATTGGGGGAGTTGAAGAAAACATTGGCGGAGAAGGAAAAGGTGTTGGCCGAGAGGGACGCGGCGCTTGCTGAGAAGGAGGAGGAGTCCATCGCCCTCAGGGAGCGATGCCGATTGATAGCTAATAAGAACTTGAAAATACATATTTTGTTATTGATTCAATTGGATTATTTGTGGAAAATTGTGTTTGATTTGTGAGATTTAACTTAATTATTTCATAAATATCTTTATGGGATCACGAGTATGTTTGAGTGTTTTCAGGTTATAAGTTCTTAAAGATGACATTCAAATTAAGAATTATATCAATGATGGAATGTGGGACGACAATAATCAAACGGTTTGTGATTTAGAGCTAAAACAAAGAAGTTATGGTGATTTAAAGTTGAAGTGAAAATCTTGGAAAACACTCCAATCTTGAACATGTGTCAGTAATTCAACAATAACATGAGATGTAGATTTTGGATCGAGATGATTCTTAGACCGTTGGAAAGCTGATTCAAAGAACTACAATTCATATCCTTACCACTTGGCCGGATTTGAACTTTTACGCACTAAAAAATCACCGTCTTTTCAAGATGGCAAGTCTTGGGGCAAATCAACTATGCCTAGGCATAGTGCCGTGGCACAACTGCGATACTGGAATTTTCTACCATAAATTTATGACGTGTATTTCCTGTTTTAAGAGTTCTAAAATGACTACGATAATAGGAATCATAACCCTAAAACCCTAGGAGTATAAATATAAGTCTTTAGTTGATTTTTGGGGGAGATTAGAAAGGAGAGAAGTTTAGCTACTCTTTAGAGATTGCAAATTCCTACAATTTTGGGTCACCAATGAGAGAAGTTTTTCTATTCTTTCTTATACTCATGTTTATGAATATAATGGTTGCTTTTATTATTGAACGTATGAACTAATTTTATTTTCTAGGGCTAAGATATAGCCTAATTTTATGAATATGCATTGAATTATTTGTTACTAATTTTTATTAAGTTTTATTATTGCGCTTAAAGCTTTCAATTCTTAAGGGCCCTAGAGTTGAATGATTTTATGGGTTAGGTGAGAGATGAAACCTAATTAGTCTAAGGTAATAAAACGATAGATTAAGCGAACGCTAGAGATAGGTTACTGCGATCTGTGAGGCTCTGGTAAATTCCATAAAACTTAATGATCTCCAATTGCTTAAATCTGATTAGAGATAATTCGGGTTAGTAATTAGGGGTTAATTTGTTAATTGATTGAGAGAAAGTTAGTGAAATATTAGGGAGTTTGGCCTTTAGAATAAGCTTAATTGAGTTAATGATAATTGTCAATACATAGGATTAGATTGGTGTGAAATCTATGC